GTTCACAGGGTCGATGGGATCAACTATCGGATGTGATTGTGGTGGAGGTGGAGGTGTAAGTGGGTTAGGTTGTTGCAACCGTCCACTTCTGGTGAGAACCTTGACTTCAAGGTCCCCCCAAACATCTTCACTAGTGCCAAGAGATGAACATGCTATGTCTTTGAGATAGACGTCTTCATCATCACTATCCCAGACCCCATTCACTTCTTCAGTACTTGAGATAAATACAACTTCCGGCAGAGGTTCATTCACAGGTTGAATGAGTATTGATGGATCAAAGGAGACTTCATCTCCCATGATAGCCAAAGCATCAGAAAGAGGACCTGTTTGAATGTTAGGCTTCTTGCCCCCTGGAGGGACAGGAAGTTGGTTAGCATCAATCAGGTCTTGGATTTCATCTTTTAGCCTCCAACACTTCTCAGTGTTATGACCCTTGCCTTGATGAAACTTGCAATAAGCATTAGGGTCATAGCTAGCGGTCCTATTCTCAGGTCGAGGTTCTGGAAATGGTCCGATTGGCATAATCAGTCCCTGACCATGCAAACGGTCATAAGCAGCATCATAAGTCATTCCCAAAGGCATATAAACCCTCCTTTGCCTTTGGAATCTTTGAGGAGGAGCATTAAGGGCCAGCACATCATTGATGTTGATATTGTTGGTAGCATTATTGGGCTTAGAAGACGAAGAAGAAGGAGTGTCGTTCTTCTTGTTTTTCCAAGTGCTGTTGTTATTGTTGCTACCAACAGACTTCATCAGTTCATCTTCGATATTGATTCCAATATGGTATACAGCGTCAAAGGTACTCAGAGGCAGAAACTTCAACTGTTGCTTGTACTTATGAGTCAGATTGGCAATGAACAAGCGAACCATTTCTTTCTCCTTGGGGGGATCCACCAGGAGCGCAGCTGTTTCCCTCCACCTGCTTAAGTAAGTGGTGAAGCCTTCATTCTCTTTCTGTTTGAGAATGAAGAGTTCACGTTCAGAAGTCTTGGCCTGGATGTTACACTTGTAACGATTCATGAAGCTTTCAGCAACATCCTCCCAAGTCGTGACATGTTTGGATTCCAAAGAATAGAACCACTGTTGATAGGCAAGCTCTAAGGAAAGAGGGAACACCGTAGGGAAGAGTGTCACATCTACTCCCTTAAGAGCCATAGTTCCAGAAAAAGCCTTCAAATGGAAAAGCAGATTATCAGTAGGCTTGAATTTGGGAATGTCAGCAGTGGAAAACTTCTCAGGAAGCTTGTCTCTTATAGACGAAGAGGCGACAGGATGTTCCACATAAGTGAACTCTTCAAAAATCTTGCTCATATTTTCCTTAATCTTGTCCATTGCAGCAGTAGTGACATTGTTCTGATTATCTTGTTCTACAGTGCTGACTCTAGTGGTGAGTGTCTGCATCATGTCAGACAATCTTTCAATTGTCCTATTGAGGTTCTCAATGTCTTCCTTAGTGGCATTGGTTGAAAGTAGACTGGAGATGGATCTTGTGGAGATGATTGAGGTGGTTTCCTTGTACGCCTCTTTGGTATAAGAGGTTGTTGAGGTATGGACTCGAACCGTAACAATCTACCCCTGCTTCTTGACCAAGTGATGTGACACCGAAACAAACACACCTTTATTGACCAAACTTAACCTTAACCTATCCGGATTATAAAAGAATTTTTTTATTATTATTATTAACAATCTACATGGGAGGATACCATCCGACTTACTCCGAAAAAAAAAAACGACACAAAAACGAGACTTCCCTAAAATACGGTCAAAAAGTGGTGCACGACTAAAAAAAAAAGTGTGTGAACACGATATGTGAGTGATTAGGTGAGGTTATAGACGCGTGTTTTGACCGTATAGCTAGACACGACACAAAACTAGACACAGCATTCGCACAAAAATTGAGAAAAAGACTGTTAGGACACTTTCCTGGGCACCGTGTCACGGTGCAGACTGTCGTGACACGGTGCAATCTACCGTCAGGCGGTAGACTTCCTCGTGTCACGGCACTGTTAACCGTGGCGCGGCAAAACATGCCGTGACACGGTGCGCAGTTCCAGGTCAGTTTTGTGATTTTTTCAGATTTTAATCGATTTTAGGTCCGTACTAATTACTATGTGAGAATAAAAACCCTCGGTCATGGGTTAAACAAAAGAGCAAACACATGAGGGTTAGCACCAAACAACCACATAGCATTTAGGCACGATGATGTAAAAAAAAGTTCGCAACCTAGAGTCGAGATCTATGTTCAACTATTGGTCAAGCTTAGGGTGTCAAAAGGGTACCATGGTTAAGAGTTTGGACACGTTAGCAAGGCAGCCTCCCTTGAGGGTGTATGTCAACGAGCGGCTCCGCGAGTTCGTGATGAAATCGAACTCAACTCCATGGTTTGGGTGGATTTAATAACTCGGATGAACCCTTATTGCCGTGAGCGTTTTTGGGTCGATAGAGCTTAAATCCCCCGGGGCTAAAACGCATGTAGAACACATACGTGTTTTCAGAAAAATCGAAGGAAGTCGACTGTGAGGAAAGAAAATAAGCCACCGGACTGATTTTAGGACTGCCATGACACGGCAGAAATTCCCGTGTCACGGTACTGTGCACCGTAAGACGGTGCACTATACCGTGACACGGATGATTCTGCCGTGGCACGGCAGTCAGAAAATATGACTGGTGCCCTGTTCTCCTTCGCGCATAACCAAGTTATCCAATTTTTCCTACGGGACAGACCTGAACGCGACGTTAAAACGTCTATGCAGATGCAAAAATGCCAAATTAATCACAGGAATATTTTTTCAAGAATCTTTCAAGTCTCATCCACTCATCTTAGTTAAATACCGATCACTCAAATCGATAAATAATTAAGAATCCTCCCCAGTGGAGTCGCCAAATTGTAGGCGTCGCTCGAAGTGCGCCTACGTTAAAAAGCATGTGGTGAATATGCTTGGCACTCATAGGAAGTAGGAATTGACATAATACGATTTGGGACAAGGAAAGTAGGGAGCCGCCAACAAGTTTTTAAGGAACTTGTAAACCATTCACGGATCATAAAAGGCAACCACGAATAAGGGACAACGAAGGCAACAACGATTGACCCGTGAAGGTTACACCCCATTCATAATCCATGAGATTACTAACTCCATATGGTTCGGAACCACGAAACGAGGATCGGGGATGATGGTACGAAGTGAGTCATGGAGTCACATTCGCCCGTATTGGCCTCTACTCGATTCTTATATTCAAAAGCATTCATGTGCTCTCAAAGGCATAAAAACAATAATTCAATTCGCTCCAAACTATTATTTAACTAAATTGGTTTAAGATTAATGCACACATAATTCTAAAATATTGGTGATCACTTCAATTAATAATAAGATTAAAAGGATCCTAAACCGGTTGTCCAAATTATCTTATTAGGCGTGATTTTCAATTACATATTCCCTTTAAACATGCAATATGGTGATCAATAAATATAATAGAACAACATTAATATTAAAACCAAATTAATCACAATTCCAACAACATAAAATCGTTAGAAAAATAATAAAAATAAAAGGAGCATGATCCTTACTTCGATTCTGTTTGTTTGCAACTACAAAATAATAAACGAGTTAGTAACTTCAAGGAAATAAATAAAACAATAACTAAATTAAATTAATTAAAATAAAGTTGATTTTGGGACCAAACCCTCAAACAATTCTACCTTTCGCGCCTTGGTTTAAGGACAGAACCTCGAGTAAAATATGGACTCCTTTGAGTACTTGAAGAAGGAATTTTGAAGTGAAAAGGGTAGGCTAGTGTTTAGGCTAATAGCATAGAAGAGAGAAAATAAAATCATAAAACTACTCTGTGCCCCGTACATCAGAAATGAGGGGTAATTTATAGGGAAAATGTGCTGAGGGAGCACACGGAACCCTAAAATGATAAAAACCCTAAAAAAGTATCCCGTGACACGGCCAAACTGTACCGTGACACGGGAAGCCCCACCTTCAGACGGTACACATTCCCGTGACACGGTACACTTTTGGCGTGACGCGGGAAATTTTTAGAAAACGGGAAAGAAAACGTGTCAAGGGTTTACGCGAAAAAGACACGGAATGTCCCGTGTCACGGAAAACCTCCCGTGTCATGGGAAATCCCACCGTCAGATGGGAAGGATTCCCGTGACACGGTGGCAGTCTGCCGTGGCGCGGGAATTTCCAGTCCATTTTCCGTCTAACTACATTCTTAACCCTAATTTCCTTCGGCTTTTTTAAGTGTCGATTGATAATTTCGGGCCTTTTCTGACTTTTATTATTCGGACTAAAATAAGAAAATAATTAAATAAAAATAAATAAAAGGTTTGGGCCAAAAATAAATAATAAAACAATAAAATAAAAAAGGTTTGGGCTGAAAATTAATTAATAAGTTTAGGCTGAAATTAAAACTATGCTTTTACCAAACATCAAGACTAATCCATGGATTTTTCAAAAATATGAATTTAATAAAATACGATTTTTTAAGCACTCTCGGGATTAAATACTGAACCCGACCAATAGTGGCGGTGAAAGGTCGTTCATCATCGGGTTTGGTTTTGGGGAGACATTTTTAGGTGTCTACATTAATATAATGTCGTCATTCCCAATTTTATGGGTAGGCCAAAATACAAAGGAAACTCTGCCAAAATTTACATTTGCATTCATTAATATTGCATTTTAATTTCAATTATTGGCGTTAGCATATTACGTTATACCACTACCAAGGGAAACAGGTACTACAAACATATACAAGAAATTATTATAATTAAAAAAAATCACATCATTTGTGTCACTCATTAAACAAACAATTGACGCAAATAACTCACTTTTGTATTGTCTAGTAAGTCATTTGCGTCACACCTTTATAAACAAGTGACGCAAATAAAAAACAAGAAGTTGCTAAGAACATCTATTTGCGTCACTTGTTTACAAAGGAGTGACGCAAATAACTCTTATTTGTGTCACTTGTTTATAAAGGAGTGACGCAAATAACTCTTACTTGCGTCGCGCCTAGGCGCCTAGGAACGACGCAAATGATTTGAAAGTCATTTGCGTCGCTCATAGAAAAGACGCAAATACACTATAAATGAGCGACGCAAATGAGCAAATTTTAAGATCAAATTAACAAATTCAATGTTTATGGTTCTTCAAGCAAAAATTTTAAGATCAAATCGATGCGAATTGGATACAGAACATCTCCTCCTTTAACTCTCCATCAGCATAATCACTAGCAACCCACATACAAGATTTTTCATTCCCGACATGCTCTTGAACCATCATACCCGCAATAACTACAAATACAAATTGATCATTCATAGAAAAAACTCATTAATTCAAGCAATTTCACACAATAATTATACAAAAAAAAAACCCAGAACAATTAACAAATGACAGAAATAAAGTCACATACTCAGATGATTAGCACATATCTCAAGAGTTTTAGATTGCCGCATAACTAATCGAACTCTCCCATAAACCTTATGCTTTAGAAACTTCACTGTACCAGTACCCCTTTCTTTCCATTGATTTTCTTCTTTATCAAATCTGTAAAGCTTCGCTTTTCTAATAACAATTCCAAAACACAAACAATTAGAAATAATAAAACATCACAATAACCCTAGAAAGCCGAACATATCCCTAAATTAGAGGCAAAATTCAAATATTGAATCAATAACTGCATTGAAAACAACAATTGAAGAGAACCTAATTAAGAATAACACAAAACCCTAAAAATCAGGGCAAAAAAAAACCTGGGATTGTGGCAAAATTCAACCATTAAATCAACAAAAATCATAAAGAAAACAAGGGTTCAAATTTGTTGGGGTTTTAGGTTCAAATTTCTGCTCGAATTGGGGGGTTTTTGGCTCAAAAATGTTCAATTTTTCTGGGGTTTTCAGGGTTCGAAATTACTGGGGGTTGAGGTTGGAATTTCTGCTCGAATTGGGGGGTTTTTTTGATAGAAAATATTCGATTTTCTAGGGTTTGCAGGGGTTGAATTTTCTGGGTGTTTATATATCAAACTTTTGCTCGAATTGGGGGGGTTTTGCTCGATTGGTATGGGGTTTTTAGCTTAGTGTTCAATTTTGCTGGGGGTTTTGGTTCGATTTTGTGCTCGAAAATGGAAGATTTTTGGCTTCGATCTTTTTATTTTTCCGGGGTTTTGGTTTTGTCGAATTGTTGTGTTGAATTCCGTTGTTAAAGGCAGCAACAAATGGGTAGCAAGAGTATTTTTTTGTGGGTATATCGAATTTGGATGCAGCAACAAATGGCGAGATGGGTAGAAAATTTAGAATTATTTACTAACCTATACTTATCTGCGTCGCTCATTAATTAAAGAAGTGACACAAATAACTTAAATGTAATGATGTAAATTAACCATTACCGTCACTCACTAATTAAAGAAGTGACGCAAATAACTCACAAACTCATTTGTGTCACTTGTCCCTGAAGGAGTGACGCAAATAAGACTGTTATTTGTGTCGTTCTAATAAATAAACGCGACGCAAATAACATAAAGCTGAAGCATATCAGGCTTTTGTGTCGCTTCATAGATAATGAGCGACGCAAATAACTTATAATGAAGCTAAAATATATCATTTGTTTCGCTTGTTTCTACGAGTGACGCAAAAGAGGCGATGCAAATGGAAGTTTTTCTGCTAGAAAACACCAATGATTCTGCAAAAAATTTAATTATACATCAACTATTTGTAATTTGTGGAGCTTATTAAGAAAATAATTCATTACTAAAAATTTTGCGTTGTTTTATGTTTGCTCAGAATATTGGGACATTGGAAACCCGACCTATACTTGCCAATTTTGTGGTGCAATATTTTGGTATGAGAAAAGATTAGAGAAGCATCGAAACTCAAAAAATCTAAAATACTCAAAGTATCGTATCACTACTACAAAAATGGCCAAAGAGACCATATCAAAATGGCCAAAGAGACTACCTTAGGGGTGGTCTCTAGCTCACAAGTCTCTTTGGCCAAAGAGACCACTTTACTAAAACTGGTCTAACTTTAAACACCAGAGACCACCTAGCTAAAATAAATGGTCTCTCTTTATAGTTTAATAAATAAATAATACAGAGGGACAAGATGTAATACCCTAAATTTTAATTCTATTTTAAGTTTCGAGGACGAAACTTGTTTTAAGGAGGGTAGATTGTAATACCCAAATATTTTATGATTTTATATTATATATTTTTTTTTAACAAAAAAATAGTTATTTTTATTTATTAAAAAAAAAACTTTTCTAATCTCATATTTTTATTTTAGAGTTCGGAAAGGTTTAAAACCCTATTTTAATTTAAATAGGACTCTCTAATTTTAAGCGTATATAAACTATTCTTAACCCGTAAAAGACATTTTTATTATAAAAAAAAAAAAGAGCAGCTGCTTTTCCTTTTAGGTTGTGCGCAACTTTCATGCATAAATCAATAAACCCAATTTGACTCTTCTTTAATGTTTTGTTTTATTCTATAATCTCCACCATCATATTAATTGATTTATATGTTAATTGCATCATGAGAGAAGTTGTACAGAATTGTTTGTGGGATTAAAACCGTGAATTGCAAAGTTGTCCACCTAGTTCGTCCCTTGTATTATATATCATGTGCGATTCGTCGAAAGGTAATCACACTTTATCAATTTGGAGATGTTTGATTGTATTATTTATTATGTGTAATCAAACTAAATTTTTGAGATGTTTGTATTTTCGTAATGTTATGTGTGATATGATTTATTATTTGTACTATTTGTATATATGATTACTTATTATGGTATTATATGATTTGATTAGATTTGAGTGTCGTATTATTTATTTTTGTTGTATATATTGATTGTACAATTATTGCTAGGGTTTTAATGTTGTTGTTATAGGGAATATTGTTTTGAGGTTTTAGGGTTGTTAGTGCAGAATATAATATTTGGGTTGTGAGTTAATTATTTTTGGGTTGACAAACAATTATTTTTGGGTGCTAGTATTATTTCCCGAAGAGTTGAGATATTTTTGAATTGAATTGTTATGTTATTTGGGAACATGTGCCATTGTTGAGATTGTTTATGAATAATTATTTGATCGATGTATGAGATCAAAAGGTTGACAATTATATTTTATTCTTGGTTTGAAGCTCGGCGTTATAGATCAGTCCTTGGCATGTTGGTAAGGAGATGATAATCATGAGTTAAGAATGAGGTACAATCTTTATTATTTATTTTTCTATGGTCCCCTACAGTGGGAATTGACCCGTATGTGGTCTGGTTTAAGGTGTTTTCTGGTTATTGAGAGTATTCAAGTTTTTATACTTGTTAGTTTTTTTCAAATTACCCATATCCAAGGCTAGGTATAGAACAACGAGCATGGCACACTTATGGGTTATATGAGTTGATTGAGTAAAGGTTTGTAGAAGTTTATTTGACAAAGGTTATTTTCAGAGTACAATGTGTAACGTAGTTTCGAACTACATTGTTTATTTGATATATTAATGTTAATTTATTATGTTATACTCTATATTCTGATATGTGGTGATTACTCAGCTTTTTGCTGATGTGTGTGTTGTTTTATTGTGCTATTTGTGTTTGCGGCCATGTCTTTTTCCTATGGTGGCCCTACGACGATCTATTTTGGAGTTTTTCCTTAATGGTGAGCAGTCAAGATTGTAACAGGTTTATCAAGAGATGATCGTAGCTAAATGAGTTCAAGTGTTTCGATTAGTTTTGTTATATCAAGTTTAATTTATTAAGTGGTATAACTAGCTCTCCTAGATTTATTGGGTTGTATTTATTGGGATTTGTAAGTCTTAACACTTGACAGGTTATCGAGTGTGGTGGTAATACCTCCGATTTAGGTGTATGCTTCCACAAATTTTATTTAAAGGTCGTTTATTTTCCTTTAATTCTTGCTTATTATTAGTTAGTAAATCGGGGGTGTTACAAAATGATATCCAGAGCCAAGTTGATCGTGGGATTTACGCAGGGATCTTCATATCCCAGCGTGGTTTATTTAGGAATGAACCTGTTAATTAAGAGTAGGATTAAAATTAACATAGGCTAAGCCGTTTCAAGAGTATTTCTCTTTATATGCTTGTGCTTGTTATGTGTTTTTTTTTATGTGACTAGATTGAGTTGGGGGACGAACTCCTTTTTAAGGGGGATAATATGTAATACCCCTAATATATTAGTACTCTATCTATATATTTTACACAGAAAAGTTTGATTTATTAGTTTTTACTTTCTTTCAAATTTACAAGTAAGTTATTTATCTAAAGTTTCGGGACGAAACTTGTTTTAAGGAGGGTAGATTATAATACCCTAAATTTTAATTCTATTTTAAGTTTCGAGGACAAAACTTGTTTTAAGGAGGGTAGATTGTAATACCCGAATATTTTTATCATTTTATATATATATTTTTTTTAACAAAAAAATAGTTATTTTTATTTATTAAAAAAAACTTTTCTAATCTCATATTTTTATTTTAGAGTTCGGAAAGGTTTAAAACCCTATTTTAATTTAAATAGGACTCTCTAATTTTAAGCGTATATAAACTATTCTTAACCCGTAAAAGATATTTTTATTATAAAAAAAAAAGAGCAGCTGCTTTTCCTTTTAGGTTGTGCGCAACTTTCATGCATAAATCAATAAACCCAATTTGACTCTTCTTTAATGTTTCGTTTTATTCTAAAATCTCCACCATCATATTACTTGATTTATATGTTAATTGCATCATGAGAGAAGCTGTACATAATTGTTTGTGAGATTAAAACCGTGAATTGCAAAGTTGTCCACCTAGTTCGTCCCTTGTATTATATATCATGTGCGATTCGTCGAAAGGTAATTACACTTTATCAATTTGGAGATGTTTGATTGTATTATTTATTATGTATAATCACACTATATTTTTGAGATGTTTGTATTTTCGTAATGTTATGTGTGATATGATTTATTATTTGTACTCTTTGTATATATGATTAATTATTATGGTATTATATGATTTGATTAGATTTGAGTATCATATTATTTATTTTTGTTGTATATATTGATTGTTCAATTATTGCTAGGGTTTTAATGTTGTTGTTATAGGGAGTATTGTTTTGAGGTTTTAGGGTTGCTAATGCAGAATATAATTTTTGGGTTGTGAGTTAATTGTTTTTGGGTTGAGAAACAATTATTTTTGGGTGCTAGTATTATTTCCCTAAGAGTTGAGATATTTTTTAATTGAATTGTTATGTTATTTGGGAACATGTGCCATTGTTGAGATTGTTTATGAATAATTATTTGATCGATGTATGAGATCTAAAGGTTGAGATTTATATTTTATTCTTGGTTTGAGGCTCGGCGTTATAGACAAGTCCTTGGCATGTTGGTAAGGAGATGATAATCATGAGTTAAGAATGATGTACAATCTTTATTATTTATTTTTCTATGGTCCCCTACAGTGGGAATTGACCCATATGTGGTCTGGTTTAAGGTGTTTTCTGGTTATTGAGATTATTCAAGTTTTTATACTTGTTGTTTTTTTTCGAATTACCCATGTCCAAGGCTAGGTATAGAACAACGAGCATGGCACACTTATGGGTTATATGAGTTGATTGAGTAAAGGTTTGTATTATTATTCGAGGTTTATTTGACAAAGGTTATTTTCAGAGTACAATGTGTAATGTAGTTTCGAACTACATTGTTTATTTGATATATTAATGTTAATTATTATATTATACTCTATATTCTGATATGTGGTGATTACTCAGCTTTTTGCTGACATGTGTGTTGTTTTATTGTGCTATTTGTGTTTGCGGCCATGTCTTTTTCTTATGGTGGCCCTGCGACGATCTATTTTGGAATTTCTCCTTAATGGTGAGCAGTCAAGATTGTAACAGATTGATCAAGAGATGATCGTAGCTAAAGGAGCTCAAGTGTTTCGATTAGTTTGTTATATCAAGTTTAATTTATTAAGTGGTATAACTAGCTCACCTAGATTTTTTGGGTTGTATTTATTGGGATTTGTAAGCCTTAACACTTGACAGGTTATTGAGTGTGGCGGTAATACATCCGATTTAGGTGTATGCTTCCGCAAATTTTATTTAAAGGTCGTTTATTTTCCTGTAATTCTTGCTTATTATTAGTTAGTAAATCGGGGGTGTTACACAAGAGAC